GACTCAGGAGATGTAGAGAGGAGGTGAAGGCAGTAGAAATATTCTACTTGTGAACAGCATGAGCAAAGGTACACTTCAGTCAAAATGCGGTGTTCTAGTCGGGTACCTGGCTTGATTGATTTCTACTCCTTTTTCCCCGCTCTCTGGGTTGTTGGGGAACCTCATGGCTTTTGTCCACTAAACACGGCTGATTTCAGGTCTCAAAAGCCAAAGAGAGCCACTCTGGCCGCAGCCCTCCCTCAACTTCTTGTTAACAGTCTCAGTCTCTCCCTACTTACATGCAGTTTCAAATCCCTTTCATTCACAAAGAGAATTTCAGAAACGTAGCTGTCATGAGTAGCTGAGCTCCCAAGAGGAATTGAAGAGAAATGGAGAAGTGCAGGAATGGCTAGGAACAAAACATGGATGGCGTTCAAAGTTGAGCTCAGTGTAGATACCAAAGCTAATGAATTCCCAGGTAGAAAATGTGGGGTGAAACAACCTAAATCCAGTCTCTAATGACATCCAGACCTAGAAGTGCTTACCTTGTGTTCCTGTAAACGCAAACAGGGAACTGAACTTGAAAAACCAAATAAGGCCAGTAAATTCCTGAAAGGAGACAGTTCTTTTTCCTTGGAGACAAACCAAATTATGTACTGCCTCTCTCACTAGCAACATACTCTGGCTCCAACATTTTTAAAAGAAGCCTGCTGAACATCTGCTGGGCAATTAATGGAATGCAGCAGTGTGCTGGAATGGTCCCCAGGAAGGTATTAGCAATCCTGCTTAGGAGACATGAAATGTTGCAAACAGTGGTCCTTTTTTCTTTTTTTTAAACTTTTTTAAATTTTTCGATTTTTATTTCCTCCCACCTGCAGGGGGGATGAAAGGCAGGGAAAGGGAGTGAGGTAGAAGTTCTGCCTCAAATACTCTTCCTCAGTGTCTCCTCTTTTCCCCAGGCATCTTCGTCCTTCTCTTCCTAGACATCCAAACAGGAGTGTGCTAATTTCAATTTAAAAACATTGTGGCAAGTGTCTCAATCCACTGATCGCCCATCCAATGTGCCACATTTTCTATGTGTGAAAGGAGAATTCCCTCCACCATCTTGGCAGACACAACCTAGTACTCTGTTCAAATAGTTTACCACAATCAGATGGTTAGGGCTAACTCAGGAGCCATCTCCAATGGGAAACCATTCCATCACGCATTTCGCTTCCTCATCATAGTCATTAAAGAGAGCCCACCATCACCTAAACCTTGTCATTTGCAGTGAAAGTAAGGCCAAGGGTGATGCTGCACTTGTGGATACAGCCAACTCTAACACTATCATGAGGAACATGGCCACACTCAACAAAGCATTTCCAGCCCTATTATTCCATCAGCCCTTGATATTCTTTTTCTTTACTTTACAAACTCAAGCTGATTATCTACATAAAGTCTACATCTACTCCAGTCACTGAGCCAGTCATAACAGAAAGATCAATGCCACTTGATCAACATCTAGAAATCAACCGGCCAAAAGGCCCTACTATCCAATTTCACAGAGAGGAACCCTCAATAAGCCACAGTGGCTGGAAGTCAAAGACTTTCACTCTCTAACATTGGGGTTTTGCTTCAAACTACATTTTTATTTTATTCTTTTAGTACTCTTGCATCATATAGATCTATACTACAGGGGGTTCTTCAAATCTCAGTACATTTACATGAGCTCCAGGAACATACCTTCCTTTTGCCACCACTTCTTTCCAGAGATCTGCCCCCCCAAATTCCTAGTGGCAGAATGAACTCTAACATTAATAGGAGAAATTTTCCAGACCTTCCCAACTTTCCATTATCCCTTGCCAGCTGGAACTTACACTAGTGGAATTAACCCTTCATGGTTATTGGGGATGGACTTTCTTTCCCACTTCCATCTATGAATCTCACATGGAGGCTTTTGGATGCCTTCGCTGTTTTGGTTTCCCTTGGCCAAGCCGTTGCCAAACCAATTTCAGTTAATTACCCACTTTTTTGATCCCTATTTTTCAGTCTGATCCCAGCTCTTCCAGTTGTCCTTATAGGAAATAATTACTTAGGTAACACTTAAAATAAGATTTCAAATTCAGCAAAATAATTGTGAACCGTCTCTGGAGTGTGATGTGATAATCAGTTAAATACAAATCAGGCACATAAAATAACTGCAGGAAGAGAAGTGTGGGAGGAAGCAAAGGTGGGGAATGCAGGTGGCCTCTGGAGCTGGAGGAGTGGGGTTAGTTCCCTGCCTCATTTAACCTAGGGTGGTCCCCTTACCAGCAGAGGCCCCAGGTAAACAGGGAGTTTTTTTCTGATAAATGAAGCTACTCCACAGAAAAATATGTTGCTTGCAGATAGTGTTCAGGTAGAATCTGAGTAGCTGTAAAGCAAATCTGGCACTACAAGGGATCGACTAGTTGGCCACATCCCTTCAAATCCAGAGTTTGGTATGCAGTAGGTATGCAATATCAGGCTCAGGTGTTTTCAACACCTGAAAGGGAACAAGGAGCTCCAGCTGTCACAGGAGAGGACGATAAGGTCCAGTCTGCCACCTAAACAAGCTGGACTGTCTAATTAGATTAACTGGTAAGTCTATTTATTTTTATTTTTAAAAATTTTTTAATGCTTATTATTTTTGAGAGAGCGAGCGAGCGAGCAAGAGAGAACGTGAGTGAGTGGGGGAGGAGTATGGAGACAGGGAGACAGAATCTGAAACAGGCTCCAGGCTCTGAGCTGTCAGCACAGAGCCCCACATGGGGCTCGAACTCATGAACCATGAGATCATGACCCGAGCCACAGTTGGTAGCTTAACCTACTGAGTCACTCAGGTGCCCCAACTGGTAAATCTATTTAAAACAATTTGAAGTTGTTAACATTCTACTCATTTGAAAAATGTGTCAGTGGGTGGCTATCAGGATGAGTGCAACTGATGTCCTTGTACTTTGTTTTCCAGCACAATCAGCCATGTGTACCTGCCCTGTGTCCCCACCATTCATCAAAGACCAAAGGTCAACCTTTTGGTAGGAAACGGCTCATCTATGTTATCCCTAAGATAAGCTGGAAGCTTTCTTTCATGCCCAAGGCTTAACAGTTGCTCTCAGAGGTGTTGCTTAATTGTTCTCGATGTTCTCACACTTTCCCATTTTATTCATGGCATTTTTCATCAGCAATATAACTCAAAAAGGGGCATTTGTTAATTTGTTCCTTGTGTGGCTTTCCCCAGTGATGGAAGCTTCACGAAGGCACAGACTCTATTCTAGGCTGAGGACACTGCTTGGTTCAGAGTAGGAAGGCATTCAGTACATGCCTGTTCAATGGATGAATTAGGATGACAAGCTGGAGAAGAGAAAATCAGCTGTCCTCAATCCCCCTTGCTCTTAAGAGTCATCTTCCTCAAGTGATAGTCTGACTCAGTTATGCCTCCATTCAATCACCTTGGTGGCTTCCCAGGGCCCACCCACCAAAGTAAGTATAAATGGCAGCCTGGCATATTTCTGCACTCTACTTCCATACCTCATCCTCACCACAGTGACTTTTAAATATTTTTTTTTAAGGCAGTGGGATTTTTTCTCTAAATAAAATATTTCACAAAACCCTAATAAAGAACAAAAAAGAGATAGTAACCAAGGAGAAAAGAGGCCAGTAGCTGAACTCCTTGGCCTTCTTCTAGACCTAGACACACCTCCAGAATCTCCAGACAACCAGAGAATGGAGGTGGAAACTGCTGTTGTTTGTCCCACATTTTCGGCATCCCCCAAACCCTGGAGACTTTCATGCTCCTTCCTTGGGCCTTCGGTGCTTGAAATGATCTCTGGAGGCCAATTCTTTCCATCCATTGAGGTTCTTCCCAAAGACCACCTTCTTCATGAAGCTTTCCTGTACCATTTTGACTATACACAATTTCTTTCTGTTTTACATTCCCTACACAACTTTGATTGTTAATAACAAAAAAACAGAAAGAAATATAATAGATTACTATTATTAGTGCCAGGCACTACTCTAAGTACATGACCTGAATTGGCTTAATCCTCACACAATCCCATGGACATAGGTACGAGTGCCATCTCTAAGCCTCAGAGAAGTCAAGTCTCTTCTCAAGGTCTGTCTATATGGCAAGTAAGTGAGGGAGCCAAGATTGAAACAAATGATCCGGCTGCAACATTGTAAAACCTAGTGTGTAAGTATACCAGCTCTCTACATAAGCATGTATGCATTTTACTCATTGAGATTCCCCGCCACTGCCCACTTCCCAACCCCACAGTACCACCACTATTGCTACCAGCAAATTTTGCCACATCACAATCAGATTATATGTTTTTTGTGGACAAAGACCATTTCCTATTAGCCTTTGTATTCCAGTGTAGCACCAGCACTATCCTCTGTAAAAATAAGTACTCAATAAATATTGATTTATTATTAATGTAACACAACAGTATTTCTATACCCTTAGAATTACCAGAATTATCATGGTGATTTCTATATAGCCTTAGCAGGAGGATCTCCTCCTCCCCCTACAACATTTTGCACATGAAGAAAGAGAAGCTCAATGATACTAAGATCACGCATGACTAGCTTCGGGTTGTTCTTGACTATGCCCCTGTACAACTCTTAAGTCCCAGTTATTTCTACTCACTATCCCAGGACTGAAAGAAAGAAAATTATTGATAATGGAAATAACTGAAAATGAGGTTTTGCAAAATGATCAGAACAAAGTTATTTGTAAGGCTAACTTTATTTTTGAGACTTCTGTTAAGAGGGAGCATGCCAACATTTGAGGAGTCTGGATCCAGGTGATTCCCTGACAGTTTTTGCTAGTGCGTAAGTAGAAAAGTCATCTTATTCTTACAGGTCCATATTAGGGCAAAAATGCCAGGCAAGGGAAGCTACGAAGACTGATGCCCTATCTCTCATTAGCAGTGGTACCACCTCATCTTGCTAAGCTGAAAAGGCAGGTTGGGATTCCCCTTTGCTAGAGCCACTAGCCAGACGCCAGGGACCTGGAAACTGACCTGCTGTTAAGTGGGCCGCATGGACAAGGATTTGGACCCCAGGCTTCAGCTCAAAGTGCACCGAGTTTTGATTGAGCTTGTGGACCAGCAGTTCTGATATCTGAAAGAAGAAGAGTCATAGTGAGTGGCACCAAAATTGTCATACCAACTGCACGCTGAGACATATTTACTGTAGTTACCAAGACATCCTGTGAAGTCTATAAATGAGTCTTGTATGACTTTGAGTTTTTACTCCGGAATATGCAGATCTAATGATTTTTTAAGCATGACCCGAGTTATATCCCACAAAATAGGACAAATAGTAAATATAAAAATTTCTGCTCTTAAAAACTTATCCTATATTATTCTAGAAAACACTACCCCCCAATTTTTTGAAAGAGCATTTGTTATACATAAAAACTTAAGAGAAGTAATTATGTACAATTTACATACTTTGGTGAGGTTTGTATGCATTTACTTATTTTACTTGTTGATAGTAGACTCTGTCTTATCTGTGCTCCCTTCTCCTTCCCCTCACTGTATCCTGTGGCTTTCACAGAGTAGATACTTTATGAATATGTACTGAATGGTAAATATAGTTCCACCAAAATAATAAAAGGCACAGTCTAGGTAATGCATTGGCAGGTCCTTGTTCCATGCTTATGGACATCAGCTACACGGTTCCCCAGGCTGGCAAAGGTGTCCTGGGCAGACCTATGGAATTCTAGACCACAAAATAGTTAACCCCCAAAAGAAGCAAAGGGCCATGTTTCAGTAGTAATAGCATAAGGACAGATTTATAGACAAGATAAAACTATTCACTTATTTAAAGTAGAAATCCCAGCTCAATTTTCTTATTCTTTTGAATAATTTCTGAAAAGCTATTAGGAAAACCACCCCCTGTTATATTTATCTGGACTCTCTGCTTTACTTTTAATGTTCTAATCATCAATTTAATATTTTATTTAGTATGCTCTTTAAGTCTCATTAGATGCTTTCTGACCACCATCTTTTCCCTTTTATATTTGTTGAGTTGTATTTAGTCTACTGATTTGCCAAAATGACACCTTTGATTGATCCTTTTATCAATTAAGCAGGGACTGATGGCTTTGTTTTGAAGCAGAAAGTTCCTGGCAGAAGCCCTCGATGGGTAATGGAACTGAATTGCCCTGCAGATGAACTTCTTTCCTTAACAACAGGAACTTGGGATGACTGTCAGTGACCTGTGGTTGAGCACCTGGGATCCAGTGCAAGCTCAGCATCTCAAATGCTTTCATTTGGCAAACCATGCAGAAAACCAAGGCTGTGAGACAATTATGGTTAAAACAACTTTATCCTCTATATTAGGCTACTCTTTTTCCTGGACACAGAGAATATTCCAGAATGCTCCGGGTTTATAGGAACAGATTTTTAACACAGACTACATAGAATAGTTTCCTCTGTGATCTCTAAAGTGTTGCAGTGTAGAGGTTCCTACTCTATCTTATAATTCAGTTGGTAAGGTTTTTATGGGAATCTGAGAGAGGATTTTTAGTAGAGGTCAATCAGAAAAGTTTGGGTTATAAAACAGATAGATACACACATAGATACACACACAGAAATGTGTACAAATATGTGTGAAATATATATGTTTATATACATATATGTGTATATATGTGTGTATATGTACATGTATGTATATACATATATATACATACATACTTTTACATTTATACTAAGTTATTTTAATTCAAATTGGAAAGACCTGCCAGAAGTAACTGAAGAAGTGCCCTGTTTTGCAGAGGCCAACTTATGGCCAAAAGGGAAACATTCATTTGCAAGAAAAAGACTTCTCTCTTTCAACTCTTTGAAGTGATATTTATTTCTTACTCCCCAGGACTGTTTTTTCCTCAAGTGAGAGATACAAATGACTAAACCAGAAAACAGAGATCATCAGAACAACATATTTCTAATTTATAATCTCCAGGAGAGTTCCTGGTGAAATAATTAACTTCCCAGATTTGTTTTGGTTTATACTATTACTTCATTGGATTTATCTTTATCACTTACAAGATTAAGCAGCCTATGCCAAAATAATCTGGTAGCAGAAAGTAAGTTTTATGTAGTTAACTTGCATCAAAGGGCATGCAATAAAGAACACATATCTGTGGGAAAGAAATTATGCACAGGAACAAAACTGAATGAAATGTACACTGCATACAAAAACAATCTCGTGAGAACCATGTAATTCTCTATTCAAATGAGTATGAAATTGTTGACAGATTTTGATAATATTTAAAGTTTTATTCATGCCTCTTGTGGAATTAGCCTATATTTTTCATCAGATCATAAATTATATATTTTTATTTATATAGTATACAAATACTTAATATACCGTGTAATTTATATGCACTGAACACTGTATAATGGCAAGGTTGTATATTTCTTACTATCCTTCTAACACAACATGTCTCAGGCATTACTGCTGGTGTCTCTGTGGAAAGGAACATGGAACTTACAGGTCATACCTAAATTTACCCAGTTAACAGCTGAAGAGTTGACACTAGACTTTGCTTTTGTTTGACTCCTCATCTTGGGGCATTTACATTAGAAATATTTTCCTTGAACCAGGTAGCAAAAAGAGAGAGTGAAAGATACTTGGAAAGAGGTCTGGCTGAGCAGGTTTATGAAATTTAAAAAAAAACAAACAAAACCAAAACTGTAGCATTTCCATAATCATGCCGCCATCTTTTATCCATCTGCGAGGTGCACTACTTGCGATAGCTGTCCCATGTCAGCTGACTGGTATGAGCTGTGCAGACAGGCAGCAGCCAACCCTCTCCTCTGACCTGCCATGTCTTGTTCACCAGTTAATACAATGCGGAATGTTTGGAAGAGGTTTCAACTATGGAAGGAATGAAATGAGCTGGATTCTCTAGGAAAGGTGGCAGCAGCCTAAATGAGAAAAACAAAACCTTGCATGATAGAGACTTAGTGGAATAATGTGTGGCTACTGGGACATTGAACCTGCTGAAGCCAGTTCCATATATTTATTTTTCTTTTTCTGTTTAATCAGGTGTGCTGTCTTAGCTAATTTCATGTATCCTTTGTGCTGTTATCCTCTCCTGCTGCTCTCCTACACAGGCCATTTTCTATTCTCCTTCAGCTAAATAATCATGAGCAAAGAAACAACATATTCTTGGAATTTGCCTAGTGGTGGACTATGCATGTGATCAAAGTTTCACTTGAGGTACCAGCTAAAACATACAGTGGGGATGCGATAAAATGCTGGGAAAGCTACCATCAGAAGGGCATAGTGGGAGGGACCTTCTACAGAGAGAATGCCAATTTTCTTCCTTATCTTCTTCACAAAATATAAAATTAAGTATAACAACCAGAATAGGCTAGGTTAGGTGGAGGGAACAGTATTAGAATCTCAGAAGTTTCAAACAATGAAGGCATCTTTCTGGCTCACATTTGATACCCCTTGCAGGTAGGCAGTGGTGCTTATTATGGTCACACAGGGACACAGGCTGGTGGAGTGCCCCCTCAAATGTTTCTATCCACAGCACCACAAGAGGGAAAAGAGCCCTCAAGGGTCTAAACCTAGCATTTGAATACTTCAGCTTGGACATGACACAAACCACTTCTGCTCCCAGTGCGTTGGCCAGAATAAGCCACATGGTTCTGCCCACAGAAGTGACTCAAGGATACAACTCTATCAAGTATCCAGAAAGCAGGGAGCAGGAAGTATTTTTTAAATGTTGATTTATTTATATTTGAGAGAGTGGGGGAAGAGCAGAGAGCAAGAGGGAAAGAGTGACCCACAAGCAGGCTCTACACTGTTGACACAGAGCCTGATGCCAGGCCTGATCCCACAAACCATGAGATCATGACCTGAGCTGAAATCAAGAATTAGATGCTTTAACCGACTGAACCATCTAAGTGCCCCAGGCTGGAAATACTTAGTCAACAGCAGTGATGTTTACCACCCAAAGAACACATTTAACACCCAAACAATTCTTAATGAAACCAATAGGCAAAAACACACTCTCAGGTTGTAATGGAAGTGTCAAACACTGAAACATGAAAAAAGAGAAGTTTAAGGTCAGAGAAGTTGGTAAATCTATGAAACTTATGAGCCAAAGAAGTGGTACAAGGTCGAACTATAAATACAAAATGGTCTTTGGCAGATTTATCAGTGATAAAGTTATACTGGGCCAAAATATTAATGTTTAGCTCTGAAGTTGGCAGGAAGAATGCAAACTCTTCTGAACCTAAGTAGCATTCTGGTGCCATGTTCAGTGCCTGATACTTGCCTGTAATGCCCTTGGAGCTGATCCAAGTAGATCACTCCTGATCCTGTTACATTATTAAGGTCTTTTCAAATAGCAGTTGAAGAATCATCCTTTTGGATTCAACAGAGGGAGATCTTCCCCACTTTATAAAGTCTAATTTTTGTATTAAATCTTGGGGAAGGCAATAGAACCAAACACTAACTCTAACAATAGCTTACTTAGTTCCCTTGCTTCTGACACCAAAAGAATCGGCTTGATTAAAATACCTGAGAAGTTTCCTGGGTGATATAATGAAGAAACACACTGGTTATACATATTTCCTTCCCTTGTGTTCCCCATCACCAGCCCTAAATTCTCTCTTTGGTATATTCCTTCCTGTTCAACTCTTACCTAATCAACTTTCAATTATAGTTTCCTGCTTTAATGCTCTTGCTCATGAACTCCAGAGTATCTCTATAATTCAACTCCCTATGTTAAAAAAAAAAATCTGGACAGGGCAGATTATGCAGGTAAGAGTCTGAGATTATCAATTATATTTTATAATGAATCTTTAGTCCCTTAAGATGCCGCTAGTAGACTGTTCCATTTCCAGAGATACCTTTCCTTTCTTTGGATTTTGAATTTTTTTTAACACTCATTTTTGAGAGACGGAGAAAGACAGAGCATGAGTGGGAGAGAGGCAGAGAGAGAGGGAGACAAGGAATCCTCAGCAAGCTCCAGGCTCTGATATGTCAGCACAGAGCCTGATGTGGGGGGCTGAACCCACCTACTGCGAGATCATGATGTGAGCCAACGTGAGATGCTTAACCAACTGAGCCACAGATGCCCCTGGAGTTTGGATTTT